ACCAGGTCTCCGCTCGAGCTCCTAACTCCCCGCTCGAGCGGCACTCACGTAACCCCGCTCGAGCGGCCAATACCACGCTCGAGCGTCCAACACTGCACAGGAAATACTGGATGGGTGCAATTTCTGCTCGAGCGCCAAAACCCCCACTCGAGCGGACAGGTTAAAATCTGGGCAACTAGTTTTGGTTTCTAAACTCAACCAACCTGTAACAAACCTGCCCAACACATCCCATAACTCAAATACCAAATAAGAAAGGATGTAAACAAGATAATAAACAACTACCAACAACCACGGACACATGTCTGGATCACTGTACAACAAGGGTAAACCCAGGATCGCTATAAACTCTAACATCTACCGAAACTACTCACAGGAAAGCTACAAAGACTTCCACAATACCACCACTCAAAAGAAAGAAAGATTAAGGAGAGAAGATGAGGAGAGGAGTGAGGGGGAAAAAAAAGCACAAAATACCAAAAGATCCAACAAAAGACCCAATAAGTAATAGACCTAAAAAAAATAAATTTTTTAAAATTTTCTGAGTAATGAAACAGATATAATAAAATAAAATAAAAAATCGTTTAGAGTTTATACCTTTGATTATATCGAAAACCCATAAATTGATGACCTACAACAAAAAGACATAACACAACATGAAAATGGCAGAAAGAAACAAACTGGAATTTAGGAAAACTAATTATTAAAGGGAGAAAGGCACTTCCATATTTATCAAAACTTTAAATGGAAAATCTTAACAAAGAAATCAAAATCGTTTGCTAAAAAAATAACTAATGTTTGGTATTCCAAATCATGTCACATAGTAAGCAATGAACTTTGTAACTGCTAAAAAATTTGCTAACTCTTGTGGTACCTGCTCCCTGTTCTTCGCCTGCTTTCCTCATCTACTTTTATTATCTCCTCTAAAGCACTTGATAAAAAAATGAGCACACATATTTTCTCTTAACAAAAAAATGATCTCACATGTAGGAAGAACAATGGGACAACAAAAGCACTGCACTATGATTTTGTTAACTTTTATTCCAATGGGGATTAAAACAAAGGGATTCATGTAGCCGACTCCATTTGATGGGACTTAAGGCTTGTGTTAGGTTTTATTCTTGGCAATCCCGTTTGACAAAACTCCTTTCAGTTGTATTTATTTTCGCACATTTATTTCAGTGAGGCTATGAGTGTTTAGATGCGAATCCAACCCGAATTGAGCCTTTCAGAGAAGTTTGTGATGCAAATATTTTCAAGATTGCCACTTCGCTGATTATTACGGGGGTCGAGCTGCCCGGTCAGCTCGCGGCCCGAAGCAAAATGCAAAAATGCATTCAAAGTTTCCTGTCCGATCATGTTATACTTTTCCAGTTTTTCCAGTTTTGGCCTTCCCGCTCGACGGGGTTTGCGAGCTCACAGTATCTCCGTTATGCCTGAAAAAGTACTGGATGGTGTGATTCGACGCTCGAGCGTCAAAACCGCCGCTTGAGCGTGGAGCCTATATGAAATCACGAAATATGAAGTCTCCGCTCGAGCGGGAAGTCCCACGCTCGAGCGGACCGCGCGAACACAGTTTTTCGAATTTCAATAAAGATTGGGTTTTCTTCCAAATCTAGGATTACTTTTGGTGTTCTATAAGTAGTTGGTATTTCCCCCAAAACTATACGACTCCACAACTCCTCCAGATCTTCTTTTTGGGATTCTAAGGTTTATATCTGAGGAAATTTTGTTAGTTTTCTTTGATGTTTTTATTGAGTATTCAACTCATGGTTTTAAAGAGAGTACATCAAAGGTTGTGTTTTGTTCTACAAAAGAGAGAGTTGTTCTTAGGTGGATTCTGAAGAATTCGAGCCTGAAGCTTTGGTGGATTCCAGGGTGGCTCATCGTAAAGACAATTCCAAGGTGAAGACGGGTTGGAAGAGGCACATAGAGGTTGGTTCAATTAGGCGTGGATTCGCTAGGTAATTGAGAGTATACCTGTGTAATTCCTTTAAATCTTCTTAGTGGATTGTTTTGTGGCTGTTGCTGTGGTTTTTTGATCACAGTTGGAGGTGTCCAATTGTGGTTTTTTCCACGTTAAAATCGTTGTGTCTCTTTGTCTTGATTATTTGATTGGGATTGTTATATTCTGCTTAAAATTGATACATAATCACAAATCAATATCTAGGGGATTTCTAGATTTTTCAGCTTGGTTTGGAGATTAAAACAAATATGATAGAGATGGGGAACGAAATTTTTTTTTTTTTACAATTAGACATAAATTTCAATATTGACAACAACTTAGCACAAGGTTATTCCTAAAGTAACTCAAAATTTACAAAGATATATATATATATATATATATATTATCTTAAGACCTGCAATGTTTTCTATTTTATTTTCTTCATTGTGCACATTTTCCTGTTGGTTAAATCTTCCAATCCAAAATAGATGTATCCACCATGTTCCCATGTTTCTCCCTTCATGCTTCTTGTTTTTCTGTAAATCCAAACTCCAAATAATGTGTCCAAGGATTTGACAACTAAAACTAAGTTAGCAATGAAAATATAATGGATTACCTAATATTGGAAACACTAGAAAATTTTATAGAAAAAATGAAGTTTTTCAATTTATGTCAACAATAATTTTTTAAAAAACTGCGTCAAAAATTAATGAACTGCAGCAAGAGGAAATCAGATATTAGAAATTGATTTATAGAAATATAGCAATGAAACAAAGGAAAGAAAATAATTAATCAAAGTACCATTAATGTTTGTAGACAGTACAACGGATAATATACATGGACGTCCATTATACACGGAGTAACTAAAAGAAAATAACGATATCTTAGGTGACTTTGTCACAGCTCGAATCACTTTCATAGTTCATTATCATCAACATGGATGTCCATACTTTACAGAGTATAGCATTTTCAAAAAAAAAAAAAAAAATCACACCTAAAACACGAACTAAAGAAAAAAAAATCATTTTGTTACTAAGATGAATGGAGTGATTGACAGAAAAAGAAAAAAGAAGTCATTCAAATGTAAAGCATTACCCAAATCAAATTGATTCATTAAAATCCCAATTCAACTGCAACACATGCATAACAAAACAAATGAGAAAAAATGTAATTGTTTGAGCTTTAAGCACTGCTTGAGTTACCGAGTCTAAAAAAGAAGGAAAAAAAATTAATAAACAAAGCTCGAAGTATAGTTTCTATGAACATACCAATCCACATTCCCAAATAATAATAAAAAAATTAGGCTTCTTACATATTTGTACTTTAATGGAGGCTCCAATTACAGTCATCGATCGTGCCTAAAGGCTTTATGTGTAAACTCTAGGAATAACTCGTGCCTGAAGGCACGCCCAATAAAACTTAAGAATATATTTTAATTTTATTATAGACATTTCGTTTCTATTAACAAACACCAAAGTGTAAGCTTCACATCAACACCAAAGTATAAACCGCCCGTCAACACAAAAATAAAAAATAAAAACACACCTGCTAAGAAAGTCAAGAAAAAATTGTAAAACTAAGCAAAGAACAAAAACCAAAGCTATAATACACATGTTAACTCTATAATCCCAAAAAAAAAAAAAAAAAACAAAATTAGTAAGCACACCAGCAAGTGTTTTGCAATCCCAAAAAATCAAAACTAAACACCAAACAATGTACATCAGCCAGTACACTGCAATATTAATAAAAGTAAAAATAAAATGGACACCAGCCAATACTCTGCAATTCAAAAAAAATAAAATTAAAATTAAAATGGACATTAGTTGGTGCTCTACAATCTCACCAAACAATGTACACCCTGCTAGTGTTATTACTGCCAATCACATTTTAACAGTTCTTTGCAAATTATAAACCCGAAATATAGTGAGAAAAATAAAGAAAAAAAGGCACTGCTATAATTTGTTTAACCACAAAGCACTCCCATATAAAGACCGCTTAAATGGTGAAATTTACTCTCTAGAAAAAAAAAATCCCTAAAAAATAGCCAAATTAAAAGGATTTGAAAAGAATAAGTCGAGATGGGTTAAAGTCATTTTTAAATAAAAAATAACTAATGTTTGGTATTTCCAAATGATGTCACATAGTAAGCAATGAATTTTCTAACTGCTAAAAAATATGCTAATTCTTGTGGTAACTGCTCCCATGTTCTTCACTTGCTTTCCTCATCTACTTTTACTATCTCCTCTAAAGCACTTGTTAAAAAATGAGCACACATATTTTTTCTTACCAAAAAAATGAGCTCACATGTAGGAAGAACAATGGGACAACAAAAGCACTACAATATGATTTTGCTAGCTTTTATTCCAATGGGGATTGAAACAAATGCGATAAATATGGGGAAAGGAAAAAAAACGTTTGCAATTTATAGTTTCTCTGTAAATAAAATGTATACAAACCAAAAACCCAAATAAAATCACAATTAGACATAAATTTCAATATTGACAATAACTTAGCACAAAGTTATTCCAATAGTAACTCAAAATTTACAAAGATATATATTATCCTAAGACCTGCAATGTTTTCTATTTTATTTTTTTCATTATGCACATTTTTCTGTTAGTTTAAATCTTCAACACATTTATTACATGACATGGGATTGAAGTCATCCCAACAATCAACAAAATATGAAATAGTCAAGCCAACAATTTTTTATGGGTGGGAAACTATGCTAGTTGTGGACAGCCTAGAGCCAACAAATAGCAAAATACATAAACCAAAATATCATGCAGAAGTCATTATATTTCAGTATACAACTCTAACATCTACCGAAACTACTCACAAGAAAGCTACAAAGACTTTCACAATACCACCATTCAAAAGAAAGAAAGATTAAGGAGAGAAGATGAGGAGAGGAGTGGGGGGGAAAAAAGCACAAAATACCAAAAGATCCAACAAAAGACCCAATAAGTAATAGACCTAAAAAAAATATTTTTTTTAAAATTTTCTAAGAAATGAAACAGATATAATAAAATAAAATAAAAAATCGTTTAGAGTTTATACCTTTGATTATATCGCAAACCCATAAATTGATGACCTACAACAAAAAGACACAACACAACATGAAAATGGCAAAAAGAAACAAACTGGAATTTAGGAAAACTAATTATTAAAGGGAGAAAGGCACTTCCATATTTCTCAAACTTTAAATGGAAAATCTTAACAAAGAAATCGAAATCGTTTGCTAAAAAAATAACTAATGTTTGGTATTCCAAATCATGTCACATAGTAAGCAATGAACTTTGTAACTGCTAAAAAATTTGCTAACTCTACCTGCTCCCTGTTCTTCGCCTGTTTTCCTCATCTACTTTTATTATCTCCTCTAAAGCACTTGATAAAAAAATGAGCACACATATTTTCTCTTATCAAAAAAATGATCCCACATGTAGGAAGAACAATGGGACAACAAAAGCACTGCGCTATGATTTTGTTAGCTTTTATTCCAATGGGGATTAAAACAAAGGGATTCATGTAGCCGACTCCATTTGATGGGACTTAAGGCTTGGTTTGGAGATTAAAACAAATACGATAGAGATGGGGAACGGAAAAAAAAAATTTGCAATTAGACATAAATTTCAATATTGACAACAACTTAGCACAAAGTTATTCCTAAAGTAACTCAAAATTTACAAAGATATATATATATATATATTATCTTAAGACCTGCAATGTTTTCTATTTTATTTTTTTCATTGTGCACATTTTCCTGTTAGGTTAAATCTTCCAATCCAAAATAGATGTATCCACCATGTTCCCATGCTTCTCCCTTCATGTTTCTTGTTTTTCTGTAAATCCAGACTCCAAATAATGTGTCCAAGGATTTGGCAACTAAAACTAAGTTAGCAATGACAATATAATGGATTACCTAATATTGGAAACAATACAAAAATTTATAAAAAAAATTGAAGTTTTTCAATTTATGTCAACAATAATTTTTTAAAAAACTATGTCACACTTGATTAAACTTATTTCATAAGAGTCTTCAATTTTGTAGAGTATGAGCAAAGATATATTCACAACTTAGTTGATAAGAAAGCACACCTGTCAATGCCTATTGCTGCCAATCACAAACGAGATTCAGAGGTCTTGAAAAAGAGAGAGAGAGAGAGAGAGAGAGAGAGAGAGAGAGAGAATGAGAATAAGAATAAGAAATGGACCATAGCAACTACAAAAATACACTTTCAATTTATAAGAAAATATTATAGATTAAATTTATACAATCATTTAGTAGAAAAGAATCATGCTCATCTTTAGAAACTTTACACTAAAATAGGTTCTGCATGCTCCAAAATATACACATTCTGTAGTGATTGCTTTACTTGCTAAATATTCCAAAAACAAACTCAAAAAGTAATGATTGAAGAACCATACCATTTGCGGTACATTTTGTGTTCCCATTCCTGCATAGCTTTCATTTTCTTTTTTTGTTAAGACACCTTAGCCTTTTCTTTTTCCTTTTGAAAAAGAAATAAAATTTAGTAACTGGGGTTTCAAGGTTTCAAATAAGATTAATTAAAGTATGAGATTAATTAAAGTTTGAACAATATATAACACCACAAATTCAAACCAAAGTATGAATTTGAGAAATCAAACGGTATGCTACCACAGTATGAATTTAAAAATCAATTAATTTAAAAAATTAACTCATGAATTCTATAAGGGCCTTTTTGTTGAAACAAAAAAATGAAATGTTGTTTAGATTTACATATTGAAATGAGTTATATACATAATCATAATCATATATATATACATACATACATAATCAAAATTAGAGCAACCAGATAAAACTTTTGCACCCTTGCTATTGGGGTCTCAAAGTTCAGTTTGTATGTTTTATTACATCAATTCAACCCCTAAATAAGTACTGAACATATACGTACAGGGATACATTCAACACAACTCTACCTAGATGACAACTAAAAAAAAAAACAGGGATACATACATAATCATACATAAAATTATATATCTAATACACAGAAATGCATATATATATATACATAGATGACAACTACCAAAAAAAAAACAAAAAAAAAAACAACAACAGGGGTGATCTCTAAGCATTTCAATGTTCACATTTCAACCTTGTATATATACATACATATTCCAATCTCTGAATCTCAACAAACTAAGATGAACAAAAAATATGATGAACAAATTAAGATGAACATAAAATAAGATGAACAAAAATTAGAACAAAATTGAGAGAAAGATAAACAAAGTAAGATGAACAAAATTGAAGTGTGATTCTGAGAAGTAATTGAAAACCCTTATAAGATTTTGATAAGAAGTGAAAACCCAATAAGTATATTGAGCATTAGAGAGAGAAATGGACCTGATTCGAGGAGATCTTCAATGTAATCGTTGCCCCAATTCATTCGATCGATGCTTTGTCTGTGGCTTTTTTAACAAAGCAAACCCATGAAGACAGAAATTTGTTCTTCCAAAGTCATTAACTAAGGGTTTAAAATTGGTTTTGTTGATTAATATGGTAAAACAGAATTAAAAAAACTATCCGATTGGAGAGAAAATAACAAAGAAAAACAACCGAAGCAGTGAACAACTGCTGCCTGAAGGTGAGAGTGGGGAGTTTGAGGTGGGGTTGGGAAGAGAGGGGGGACTTAAATCTTGAGGGGAAGGGACAGGTGTTACCTGAAGGCGAACAGCTGCTACCGACGACAACCACCGAAGCAACGAAGAGCCGATGAAGTAATGAAGAACCACCGAAGCAGTGATGAGGAATGGGTTTGAATACAACCACTGTAGAGAGAGAGAGAGATGGGTTTGAAGAGAGAAACAGTGAAATGGGTTTGAAGAGAGAGAGAAACAATGAAATGGGTTTGAAGAGAGAGATGATGAAATGTGTTTGAAATGGGTTTCAAAATTGAAGGGTATATCCAACGGTGAAGAGAAACAGTGAAATGGGTTTGAAGAGAGAGATGATGAAAATGCTGAAATGTGTTTGAAATGGGTTTCAAAATTGAAGTATATATCCAACGGTTAAGGTAAAAACACAACCCTCAAATTAATCTCTTCCTTTCAATCTCATTGCCACCTAAGATAGATGTCCCAACTGGTTTGAAAAACAGAGCTTCCGTATTATATAGATAATTTGAAAATTACATTTATCTCTCCTCAAGGGTAGTATTGAAATTTGAAAAATAATTATGGATGATCAATAATGATACGTCTTTCTAAATTAATGAACTCTAATGACATGAAAAGTAAAAAAAAAAAAAAAAATACAAGATACAAACATCAATATCACAATGGATTCACACTCTATTAGAGTTGTTAGAACTCTAAAACATTTTTGTATGGATGATATCAGCATAATCTATTTAAATTTGGACGGATGGGTACTAGAAGGAGGTCTTTGTATATTAGTTTCAAAAGTAAGTGAGGTCTGTGTTATTTTTAAAATCATACGGGAGGTACTTGTAATTAAGGAAAAACTCAGGGAGGTCAGTGTAATTTACCCTTGTTTTTATATTTGCTTTACTTTATCAGGGCGAGTTGTTCATGGCAGAGAGATAATGGTTCAGTTCGCTAAGTATGGGCCGAATGTTGAGAAAATGTGAGTCATCTATTATGATTAGTGTTATGTTTCATTTTATGTATGTAGTGGAATGGGTAATTGACTGTCAATTTGTTGCTTATTGATTTATGAGTCATCACGGGCTGAGTTGATATGCAAATGCTATACCTTTGTTACTTCAAGGTTTAAGCGTTTCGAATTTAGAATAAACGTGTGTTTCAATTTGGTCTTGGTAGTGATAAATTTCAATTGTATATGTTGGCTTCATTAACAAGTCCACAGAGGACCTTGCTACTTGCACACTATTTATTCTAGCTCTATATGTTACGAAATATGGCGAAGTTTCTTCTATTGTACTTTATTTGTTCGACTTAGATTTTATTGAAATGGTAGTTTTATTGGAGTACATATTTTTTCTCTGTGGAAACTGCTTGACCGAGTTACATGGTTTGGGTTTTCAGTCAGAAAGGGAGGATAGTAGAATCAACATCAAGGTCAAAAGGCAGCTTAAGAAGTCGGAGTCCTCGACCAAGGTATGCATACTGTTTCTTTTCTTTCCTTTTCTTTTTTATTTTTTGAGAAGGATATAGGAAATGAAGTGGTCCTCTTCAAAAATAGTCCCATGTAGAATTTTATATGGCGTTTGGGTCAAACAAGTTGGCGAACATTTGGGAGATGTGGAAATTGATTATTCTCATTCATGTGGCTATATCTAATTTAGTATCAGTGATTTTATTTTGTTAGAATATTTGTCTTTTGAGCAACTATGACACCCATGTGTCCGCTTATTTATGGTAATTTACCACCACCACCACCTCCACTATTTTACATCCACATTATTGAGGGTGTAGGTATGGCAACTGATTGTGTTTTGCATACTATTTTACATCTATATTATTTGACAGCTAGGAAACTGATCATGTTTTGCATGGAGTCGTGCTCTTCCAACCTCTTCCAATATAGAGCTGCCCCTCTCCAAACTTGTCTTGAAGTTGTCATAGGGTGGAGCGGTGGAAGGTTACAGAAGAGTTGGGTTGGGACAGATATCCCAACAGATTGTGAGAAGTCCTAAACTGGGATGGAAGTGTATGACGATACATCTTATATATAACTGATGTTAGCAGTTAAAATACGGCTTAATTTACATCCACACTATTGAGGAAAAATAAATTTCATTCCACATGGCAAACAACCTTGGACATGGATTAGACAGCACATCAACAGTTGTCTACTAAAATCCTTAATAGCAGGAAACTCCTGGTTCCTGCTTCTACCCTTGCTCCCACTCCTGCTCTCAATCTGAAACTTTTTATTTATATAATATATATATATATATATATATATTTATGCTCAAACTCCCATAATGGTACTAATCGGGTGTTGTTTTTAGGGGTAACCATTGGTTTAGTGGTTAAAATCTCGGCCTATTAACCTTGAGATTGTGGGTTCATGTCACGACCCCAAACCGCCCCTAGTAGTTTGGTGCCGTGATGGCCAGTAATCCGAGATTACCGAAGGCCAACTTTCAAGATTCACACACAACAGAGTATAAATATATGGGGCTCACAAGTACGGAAGCAATACATACAAATCAGATTAGTCCATAAGAGCTGTGCGTAAATCAAATGAAATGGCAAACATCTACACATGGGTTACAACTTAGTACAAATAAAGCAAAGTACTTATTACATCTTGATCAAGAGGCTTCTCAAGCCGACGTGTGCAAAAATATAAGTATTACAAGTCGAGAAGCATAATTTTCAAGACTGCCGACGTAAATACAAGTCAAGCCGACATAACAAAAATCCAAAACAAGCTCACGAATCACATCTAGGCGTCACCGCCTTCTTGCTCATCACCTACATATATATATAGAGAGGGTGAGCTTGGATACTCAGTGAATGATATAAATAATAAAGGGTTTGCATGAATAATAGCCGAAGTCTTTTCAAAACAATACATGTCAAAACTTTATATAACAAGGGATAGACCTTGTCCATCTAACAAATCTTCAAAGCTTCAAGGGATGCTCACTAGCATCAACATATCACAAATGATGACATTCCGGCAAACAAAACCCATGCGGTAAACCGTCAGTGGAAAAACAAGACAAAGCAAGGGAGATATCTCAAGCAAGGGTGCTACAAAAGTTTAAAGTCCTCTAGCACAAAGGACCTATGTTACAAAGGCATGTAGCCCTTTAACACGAGAGTACTACGAAAGTTTAGAGTCCTCCAGCACAAGGGACTTTCAAAACAAGATGTGCAGTTGCATTATAGTCCCCTGGCACTAAGGACTTTCAAAGCAAGATGTGCAGTTGCATTATAGTCCCCTGGCACTAAGGACTTTCTGAGAAGGTCATCAAAACGAGATAATGCTTGATATACAAGATAGGGACAATCATTCATGCTTAACAAATACTTTTCAAAACAAAGCAAAGCAAAGCTCATCAAAACATTGATAACATAACTTTATTAGAAATACCACTCACATAGTTCTTCAAACGTCGGGGTCAAGGCAAGTCCAAGTCTGACAAACACATGGCAAAGTCAATTGAATGCACTTCTCAAAACAAGTCTTGCATGCATGCAAATGACCTCGGCATTCTTCAAAAACTCTATTGAATGCACTTCTCAAAACAAGTCTTGCATGCATGCAAATGACCTCGACATTCTTCAAAAACTAAGTCAAATCAAATCAAAACACAGTTTCTTATCTCTGGAAAACATGCTGGGCAACTACCAGGTCTAGGCCGAGGTCCCACACCTCCTTGCCGAGGTGTGGCCTCGATGGCCACATTCAAGGAAATGAAGTCGGGAAAATCTGGGTTTCCCTCTCTTGAAGAACATGACGAACATGAAGAACATGAACATGAGGAAGATGAATGCGGAGATTAAAACCTGCTATTACAAAATCTGAGATTTCATGCTAAGAATCTGAAATCATGGACCTGGGTATCCAGACTCGAAGATCTTATGAAAACAAACACAAAACATGAACCTTAATGCAAACTTTCGGATCAAACGAGGCTTTTCTTCAAGAACACATGAAAACCATTTTCTCTTTCCAAAACCAATCTTTAAATCAATGCATGACGTGCAGAACAGGTTTGATCGTGCAATGCAGCTAGATGATCAATAAGAACAATAAGAGTAGATTAAGATTCTAACCTCAAAACTAGGATCTAACGGTTCAAACACCAACGATCAAGCTTGGAAGCCTACTTTCTCACTCAAAACTTATCCTCCTCCTTCCTAGAGCCTCTCTCTCTAAAAGACAAGATTTGATACAAAATGATATGTTTTTCTCAACAGTCATTGACTTAACCCTCTGCTGGGACACGTGGCATCGACTGATTGGCTTTTCTCAAAAAGGTGACTGACTGATAAGACAAGACCATGACAAAGTGTACTCAACAAGCTAGGCGGCAAGAGCACTCCGACGAGTAACGACATCGGCTAACAACAAGACTTCGGCAAGCAAGGGGCAAGGACATCGGCTTGGAAGGACAACACTTGACTAAGCTGTGCCACACCTTGGCCTAGATGTGCCACACCTCGGTCTAGGTCATACCATTCCAGGAACAAAATCACTAAGTGCAAGGATCAAGGATCTAGAACGCCTAGATAATAACATCTCGGCCTAGATGATGCACGGCCTAGGACGCGCACCTCGCCTAGGTGACGCGCACCTCGGCCAATATGCCAGGGTGGAGATGGAGGTCAACGAAGTGGTTCCAAGATAGTTCTAAGTGTGGAAAGGTTCCAGGTGTCTAGGCTTAAGATGAACCTCGGCAACACACCAGGCAAGAACAAAGCATGCAAGCAACATTCGAGCAAAACAAGACAAGATTTGCAAATGCACATAACAAAACAATATCATACATAACTGTATGCAAGTATGACTAAGTTGAAGTGAGGGTTGTTACATCCTACCCCCCTTAAAGAAGTTTGGTCCCCAAACTTGAGTTACCTTGTTCCAAAAACAATTCTGGGTGTCAGACTTTCATTTCCTCTTCCATTTCCCATGTAGCATCCTCACCGTAATGCTCATTCCATTCAACTTTCACCATTGGTATCGACTTACTTCTCAACTGTTTCACCTGCCTATCGATAATCCGTATCGGCTTCTCTTCGTAGCCTAAATCCTCATTAATTACAATTCTGAAATAGTCGATCACATGTAGTGGATCTCGAATATACTTCCACAACATCGAAATATGAAACACATCATGGACTTGGCTCAATTCTGGCGGCAAAGCAAGTCTGTAGGCAGCGAGGTTAACCTTCTCAAGGACTTCAAAAGGCCCGATGTAACGGGGTGCTAACTTATCCTTCTTTCCAAATCTTGTAACTCCTTTCATCGGCGAAATCTTTAGGAACACATGGTCCCTGACTTCAAATTCCAACTCTCTTCTTCTCTGGTCGGCATAACTCTTCTGTCGACTCTGTGCGGTTTTGATTCTTTGCTGAACGAGCTTAATCTTCTCGGTTGTTACTTGAATTAACTCGGGACCAAGCAGAGCTTTGTCTCCTACCTCGGTCCAACATATCGGCGACCTGCACTTCCTTCCACACAACGCTTCATACGGCGCCATGCTAATGCTAGCTTGATAATTGTTGTTGTAGGTAAATTCCACCAATGGCAAATGTACTCCCCAACTTCCTTGGAGGTCCAATACACATAGTCTAAGCATATCTTCAGGTGTCTGAATCGTTTTCTCTGTTTCCCCATCAGTCTGGGGATGAAAAGCTGTGCTAAACCTCAACTCGGCCTCGAAAGCTCTTTGTAGGCTCTGCCAAAACCTGGAAACCAACTTCGGATCTCGGTCCAACACAATTGACATCGGCACTCCATGAAGTCTAACAATCTCATTCACATACAACAAAGCAAGTTTATCGGCATTGAAGGTGGTCTTAACAGGCAAGAAGTGTGCTGATTTAGTTAGTCTATCCACGATAACCCAAATCGAATCCATTCCCTTTTGTGTCTTCAGCAAACCAACCACAAAGTCCATGGAGATGTGCTCCCATTTCCACTCAGGAATCGGTAAAGGTTGAAGAAGTCCTACTGGCCTTTGATGTTCTGCTTTCACTTGTTGACAATATAGACATTGCGACACGAACTCGGCTATTTCTCCTTTCATATTCGGCCACCAAAATGTCTGTTTCACATCCTGATACATCTTGGTGTTCCCTGGGTGAACAGTAAACTTGGAACCATGAGCTTCCTGCAAAATTTTTCTTTTCAACTCTGGGATGTCGGCCACACACAATCTCCCTTCAAACTTGAGCACTTGATTTTCTATGGTGTACCCTGATCTCGGCTTTGTGATATTCTCATCGACTACCTTCTTGAAGAATTCGTCCTCCATCTATCTTGTCTTTACTTCCTCAACAATAGTCGGCTCCACTAAGATCGTGGTTAGGCATGCCCAATTTCTAACCATCTTTCTGCTCAAAGCGTCAGCTACGATGTTAGCTTTACCTGGATGATATTGAATCTGCATATCGTAATCTTTCAACAACTCAAG